CTGAAGAAAGAACAAATAAGACTGTGAAGAAAGAACATGCAGAATGGGAGAAAATCTTTGCTAGCTACTCTTCTGACAAGAGGATTAAAGTCTGGAATATATAACTCAAAAAACTTAATACTCAAAACAAACCAATCAATAAATAGGCAAATAAACTAAAAAGATTTCTCAAGAGGAATCAACATCATTAGCAATTAGGGAAATGTAAGTCAAAACTACACTGAGATTTCATCTCACTTTAGTTAGAAGAACAGCCATCAAAGTTATAAAAATAATGAAAGTTGGAGAAGATATAAAGAAAAAGGAACACTTTTATACTGTTGATGAGACTGTAAATTAGGACAACTACTAGGGAAACCAGTATAGAGGTTCCTCAAAGACTAGGAATGACCCAGATATACCACTACTTGGTATTTATCCTAAAGAATTAAAAATGGCATACTATAGTAATACATGCATATCATCACAGCAAAATTCACAATAGGCAAAAACTATGGAACCAGCCTAGGTGTCTGTCAATAGATAGATGGATAAAAAAAATGTAGTGTGTATATATATATAACAGAGATTTATTCATCCATAAAGAAGAATGAAGTTATCAGGAAAAAATGTTTTGAAACTTGAGAAGATTATGTTAAGCCAAATATAATAAGCTAAACTCAGAAAGCCAGTGGTCATATGCTTTCTCTTACATGTGGAAGAGACAAAGAAAAAAGGGAGGACGTATTTCATGAAAATCAAAGAGAAATTTTGAAAAACAGAAGAAAGGGACTAGAAGAAAGAGAAGAGGGGAGCATAAAGAGAAATACTAGGGTAGTTGGCCAAATTATGTTTTTACATCAAGTGCATGTGTGAATAGGAAACAATGAATCTCATTACTTATAACACACCAATAAAAATATGGGGGAAATCTGTTATTTATTTATTTATTTATTCATTCTTTTACTCTAATTTATTATTTATATTATTTATTCTTCTACTCTTTTACACTGCCATACATGGATGGTTTTTCAAAATCTACTTTTTGTTTAGAAAAGTTTTGGATTTTCAGAAGTGTTATAAGAGGTACACAGATGATATAAACAGTTCTGGTGGGGCTGGGGTTGTAGCTCAATGATAAAGTACTTGCCTAGCATATCTGAGATACTGGGTTCAATTTTCAACACTGCAGTACATAAATAAAATAAAGGTCCATCAACAACTAAAAAAATTTTTTTAAAGAGTTATGTATCTGGGGGATAGTTCCCCTATTGACATCACTGAGGTTCAACAGTTACTATAAATCAATCAATATGACTTTGCATACACCCAGAGATATGAAAAATTGTGCTCTATATGTATAATATGAATCACAATGCATTCTGCTGTCATATATAACAAATTAGAATAAAAAATAAATTAAAAAATAAATGAGTCAATATGAATACATTATTTATAAAAGTCCATACTTTATTCAAATTTCCTTAATGTTTGCCTGATGTTAGTTTTCAGCTCCAAGATACCCCACCCCCGGATATACCCTCTATTTGGATGTCATGTCTTCTTGGGCTTTTCTTGACTGTTTCTTAAAGTTTCCTTTTTTTGGGAGGACTTCACAATTTGGGGGAATATTAGCCAGGTATTTTGAGTAATGTTTCAGCATTAGGATTTGCTTTTAATTGGACTGGAGTTGTGGGTTTTGAGAAAAGGACCTCAGAAGTGAAGTACCATTTTCATTGTGTTATATAGGGGATACCCATTGTCAAATAACTTATCATAGTTAACGATGACTCGATGACTCCATGACTCCCCGCTTTTTTTTTGGTAATGAGGACTGAACCCAGGGGCACTTTTCCACTGAGCTACATCCCAGTCCTTTTTATTCTGGTATTTTTGAGACTCACTAAAAGTTGATTAGGGCCTCACTAAGCCATTGAAGCTAGTCTCAAACTCAGGATCCTCCTCAGTCTCCCAAATGGCTGGAATTACAGGCAAGCACTACCACATCCAGTTCAAAAAAAAAATTTAACATTATTAGGGATCTTAAGATATTGACTCTTTTCAAGTAAAAAACATGAGATATCGAGACCCTCTCCAAAAAAAGGAGCAAAATGAGCAAGAATTTTTAAACAAGAACAGTTAATAAATAACTGCTCAAATCAGTCTAGATTAACTATTTGTTTAGTCCATTTATGTGCAATAGTTTAAAGACAAGAGTTGCAAATAACTTTGAATTTGTTCTTACCTATCAATTTGGTCTGCTTTTGAAACATTTTAATTCTAATGTTCTTTTCATATCTAGAGAAGGCTATGGGAATCGAGGAGCAGGGCATCCTGCTAGCTTTTCCAGGTTTAGAAGGAAAATAAGAGCTCAATGTTTTCCTCATATAAGAATGCCCAAAACACATCTGAGTTCCTTGAGTAAGACAAGCCAATGCCCTGTACTATCTGAGAGAACTGTTTCAAACTCTCTCTTAAAGATAACATATACATTTGTAAACATTTCATCCAGTGGTCAAATGCCTTTGCACTGTAAGCTGTAGGAGAATGCACTGTAAATTCCCCAAAGATTCCCCAAACAACTTTTCCCTAAAACAAAATCTTAATTCAGTTCTTCTCGGTATTGGTGATAATCATGGTACTGGAGTCCCAAAGGAAGCTTTTAAGTGGTTATAAGTAGACAGAAAATAAACATGGAAAAGAACAAGCACAGAAGTGATTATATGAAAAGAAGCATTAGGGCTGGGGTTGTAGCTCAGTGGTAGAGCACTTGCCTAGTATGTGTGAGGTATGTATGGGTTTGATTCTCAGCACTATTCTCAGCACTGAGAGAATATATATATTCTATATATTCAGCACTATATATATATGTTTATATATATTCTCAGCACTATATATATGTATATTTATAAATATACATATGTATAAATAGTCCATCAACAACTAAAAAAAATTTTTTAAAGGATTAATAATCTAAACCAGTTTTGAAAGGAGCTATATCATCTATTTGATAACTATACAGAAACAGTGTGTAAATCTACATTTTTTTGTTGTTGTAGGTGGACACAATGCCTTTATTTTATTAATTTATATGTGGTGCTGAGGATCAAACCCAGGGCCTCACACATACTAGGTAAGCACTCCACTGCTGAGCCACAACACCAGCCCCAACTTCATAAATATAAAAATGTCTGATTACACAGGCATGCACATACACACAAAGAGTCAAAAGCCAAACCCAAAAAAATATTTGGAATTAACAACAGACTAAAGGAATTAGTTATTAAATTGGAAAAGAAATTCTATAAACCAATAAAAAGTAAGTTAGTATATGAACAGATATTTGATAGAAAAGAAAATGCAAAGGAACATAAACATATAAAAATACATTCAACTTTACTTATAATGAAAAAAAGGCAACTACACTGACAGACTGTTTTCTCATCTATCAGACTGGTACTGAGTTTGATAACACATTCTATGGACAAGTATATGGTGAAATGGCACTTCCATACACTGACGGTGGGGAAAATATTGGTACAATCTCTCTAAAGCTACATGAGGAATTCCTCAAAATTATAAACACATGCCCTTTCATCCAGCAGTTCTACTTCAAGTAGTTGACCCTAGAAACATACTTCATATATGCTATAAATTAAACATATACAACCCTTTTATTATAGCATTAATTTATGTAGTAGAAGAAATTTGAGAAAACTGTATGTCCTTGAGCAGAAATCTTGCTAAATCAATTGTAATACATCCATACGATGTCATCAGTACCAATAAGGAAGCACTTGGAAGGAGTTCCAGAATGTAATAACACACACACACACACACACACACACACACACACAGGAAAGAACAAGCAGTTAAGATCAGTAAGATGTGTGGTAAGACCAAGACACACACACATACACAAACACACACACACACACACATATTTTTGCTTGTATATGGATTATGCATGTATTTGGAAGAATATAAGAAAAGAGGTCAACTGAATAAAGAATATATGTGTGTTTTTATATGTGTAGACTGTTTCTCAAAGAATACATAAGAAACTGGTAAGAAGAGGTAAGCAGCATGGGAGGAAATAGTGAGGATATAAATATCTCTAAAATTTTAAAACAATAAATTAGTATCCATTTATCAAGATAAAATCAACTGATATTTATAGTGACCAAATTTTTACAATTACTTACTAAAAGTAAATGGAAGCCAAAACAATATAAACTGCAAATATAGAACATAAGCTTCTATATGAAAGAAAAGTTGAACTTGAAATTTAGCAAGGAAAGTTTTGGCTACTGTTAGAGGTTAAAAATAAACTGAGACAATGTCGAATATTTCTAATCTATCACTTCGATAGCGATGAATAAATAATAGCATGGCTTGTAACTGTTATTCAAACAGTGGCCTTTATTAAGTTAAGAAAAGGGGGCAAATGTTAGTTTTCGTATTTATTCCAGAATTTGCATCCTTCTAATAATATGATAAAAGAGGAAAAAAATTCTATCTTTCCTTGAAATAGGTACATTATATGTTAATTTTAGCAGCATGTTTTTCTATTCAAAACTGTCATATTATTAATCATGCAAATGGTCCATGTGCTGTTCAGATTCACTATAGTTCCAATCAAAGAAAGAAGAGGTAGAAGAAATGTCTGGTCAAACAGTACGGCAACTCACAAATACTTTTTAGAGAGAACATGATAATACTACTGAAACAAAAGAGAATACTACTGAAAGATATTAATAGTGTTTACTTATAAAAATTAAAGACAATATGCAGAGCTGTTTTAGCACTCTACCTATTGTAACAACAGTTCCATTTACTTGTATATGGATTATGCATGTATTTGGAAGAATATAAGAATATATGTTTTTCAAACTTTTATGCAAAAACATAATCAGAGAAATGAGAAAAAAACCTTTGACAACATGTAAGTATAATTTAGTGGTAGGAATGAGGAGGTATGTCAGAAGTAGACTTCTGAACTCTGAATGCCTGAACCTTACCTTCTTCTGAAGAACATTAACCTTCCGCTCCTTCACATCCAGCATGTCCTTGAGGTCATGTATCTCTCCAGCTTGTGTCCCTTTCTCTTCAGCCATGTCCTGAATTTGTTTTGTCTTTTTATTCAGCATGGTTTCCTTTTCTTCCAAACGCAATCGGAGAGCATCCACCTAAGAATACACAATTTTTACAAGTTATTAACCAAAAAGAACTCTTTTTGAATAGATACATTATAGGTTATAAAAAGATTGAGTTTTATTATTTCTGTATAATCTACAACTATGTTTTTCAAACTTTACATACATCAGAGTCACCTCACTGATTAAAACAGATTGCCAGGTACACCCACCAAGGTTTCAGGGTGGAAGTTGGAAATTAGCACATAGACAAGTTTCTAAGTGCTATTACATTTCCTTAGGAAATCTAAAATTAGAAAGGAAACCAAAAGAATCACCAGATAACAAAATCTACCCATAAGTTATGATGCTTTTAGGATAGCATCATGTGTGCTTGTACATCTACACAAAGCAAAAACAAAGGTCTGTTTTTCAGACACCAATAACTAAGGTAAAGTCTGACACTGAGTTACCTCTATCCTTGAAGTTTAATAGCTGCCATTAGATATAACTTATTTATTGAGAAATCTACTGATAATAATATTTATTTTAAAATCCATTTAAAGCAAATTTCATTAAGCTTTTAATATCCCATATATATTCACACACCAATTTTTTTGTTTGTTTTTTGTTTTTCCATCAAGGATTAAAACTTCAACAGGTATTTAATTGCAGAAAAACAGGAAGGTAGATTTCTTTCAGCTAGGAGAGTGGTATTTGGAGAAAATACGAGTCGTATTTACAAGCCATTTTTAATCTCCTAATAGCTATATTAAAAAGGTTAAAAAGATAAAATTTTAATAACATTTTATCTAATATTTCTACAACACTGTCATTTCAAAATGAATCTGTATTAAAAACTATTCATGAGGGATCTTACATTCTTTTCTTATATTAAGTCTTCAAAGTCCAATGTATATTTAACCTTTACATTACACCTCACTAGTCACTGCAAATCTTAAAGAGCAAGTTTGCTTCTGTAAAACATCTCATCTTTAACGTGCCAAATATTACTTTTACCGTGCTATACTTAGTTACTGCGTGTGTAGTAACCCATAAAGAAAAAGCAAGTAATATGAGTAATTATTCTTATTTAGAATATATTGAAGCTCTCAGGAAATATCTAATATTGTATTTAAACTACAAGGCATCTGAGATATAGTACTGAGATATAGCATGATATCTATATCATGTTCATAACTGTTCAGAAGTGTTATGAAAATTTTCTAGGTGACCAGTCTCAAGTACTTACAGATTATGTTGGACTATCCTAGAAAGAAAAAACATGCAGATAAACCACACTACATTATAAATGTAGTTGCTAAACTACATTATACAAGAATTTCTATGCCACTAGTCTCACCAAGCCAGAAGTTGGGGAGGATCTTTTTAGTTCTCATTTATAACTTTGCATCAAAGGTTTTACCTTGGGCATTCAATAAATACTCTTTCAGCTTTAATTTACCTCTACTTTACTTTAATAAAAGACATATAGTTAACTTTATTATAGTATGGAAAGACACCACTAACAATTTTCTAATTTTGATAATCTTTTTTCTGACTCACAAACACATGCATGTGGTCATATATATGCTTTTCCACCATATACACAACAGATTAAAAATCTTCAGAGTTCTATCCTTAGGCACTGTATTTTCTTCCCTTTTGTTCTTCTTGCAGACAATTCTACACTCTCCTATGGCACTTTAAAAAACTGGGACTTAAAAGCGAGAAAGAACAATGGCACACATCTATAATCCCAGAGACTCAGGAGATTGAGACAATAAGATCGCAGATTCATGGCCAGCTTGAGGCCTAACAGCTTAGCAAGATCCTGTCTCAAAGTAAAAATAAAAATTTAAGAAAAGGGTTCTGGATGTTGCTCAGGGGTAAAATACTCCTGGGTTAAATCCCTGAGGGAAGAGGGGTAGCACACAAGCTGGGACATAGATCTAAGAGAAGGTAGCAAGCGCAAGATCTCAAAGCTACCAATAAGTATTTACAGCAGGGATTGTGGTCAACTGGGCTATCTCTAGATCCTCCACTCTCAACTAATTCTATAATATACCCCCTGCCAGGGAATTTAGAGCATAGTATTCCAGGCCCTCCATGATGTAGGGGTCCCATCTGACCACCACTGCCTTATCTTTGTACTACACCTCCTCACTCCATTTGTAGCAATTCCTTGCTCTAGCGCCATACCTGTTCTCTGAATACATGCCATGCTTCTTATTTTACTTCTCATTCTTCACATTTTGTTCTCTCTCACAGTTCTAGAGGATAGAAATCTGACATCAAGGTTTCAGCAGGGCCATAATCTTAAGCCTGCCACCTTCTCTTATCTAAGTCTCATTTTTCTTAGGCCATCTGAGAGCTCTAAGGATAACTCTTTGTCTCTTCCTATCTTCTGTTGGCTCCTAGCAATCCTGGACCTGTAAATCCATCTGCAAAGACCCTAGCCAAATATGGGCACACTCAGATTTGGGTAGACATGAATCAATGGAGGTACTATTATCCTATTATCCACTATCCCTATTACTACAAAATGCTCTAAAATGCTAAACTTACTTTTAAATTAATAGTTGAGAACATATACAAACTGACACACAGACACAAAATCATTGAATGCTAAAAGTTAGACCAGAAATCCAAAATGGTTTGCTTACAAATAAGTTATACCTGCCATCCTGCTTATTCCTTTACTTATTGCTATGTCCTGAAGGACATGGTTTTGAAGAAGCCTCAGAGGACAGAAAACAAGACAGGGCAACACAAAGGAAGGTTAGAACAAAAAAACAAAATTACAAGCCTTCACTGGGCAACTGCCCTGCTTTTGAATGATCCTCAAGCATCTCGGTACTCTCAACACTCCTTTACAGCACCCACTCTAAACACCCCCCTTTGGTTTCAAGACTCCTTGACACTCTTAGAAATTACACAATAGTACATGCCTGTAATCCCAGTGAATCGGGAGGCTGAGTCAGGACTATGGCAAGTTGGAGGCCAGCCTCAGCAATTTAATGAGACCCTATCTCAAAATTTAAAAGTTCAATGGTAAAGTATCCCTGGGGTCAATTTCCAGTCCAAAAAAAAAAAAATATTGAAGACCCAAAGATCTTTTGTTTATATAAGTAATACTTTTTTTAATATTTATTTTTTAGTTGTAGTTAGACACAATATGTTTATAGTATTTATATGTGGTGCTGAGGATCGAACCCACGGCCTCACACATGCTAGGCGAGTGCTCTACCCCTAAGCCACAACCCCAGCCCCTCTGAGTTATACTTATCAATATTTATAATATTCAAATTTAAAATTAGTTTTCAAATTATTTATTAATTTAAAATGAGTCCATTATATAAGTTAAAATAACACATTAAATTATGGGGGGGCCACTATATTCACAAAAAATATGGTTAAAAAAAGCATGACTATTTTCAATTTTTGCAAATATATTTAGTGTTTGGGGGAGGGGGTACCTAAGACTAAATGCAGTTTTTATATCATCTAACAAAACTTAAACAGACCCAAAAGAACTAAACTATTTCAAAGTAATTTATTCACATCACATAATGAAGTTATGTTCTTATTTATAAGAATACATGAATGCCTAGCACCCAATCCACAATTACCTGACTTGCAAACACACTGGAATATACAACTCATAATGAGAAGAAAAGTCAATCAGTGAAAATTGATCCAGAAATAACATAGAGGATAGTTTGATGTTACTAACTTGGAATCTAAAAAAGCTGAACTCACAGAAACAAAGAGTCAAATGGTGGTCACCAAGAGAAAAAGATGGGAGTAGGGAGAGGAAATAGGGAGATATTAATCATAGGGTACAAATTTCAGTCATAAGGATGAAAATTTTCTAGGGATCTAATGCACACCACGATGATTACAGTCAATAATACTGTATTACATATTTGAAATTTATTTAAATATTATCACAAGGGAAAAAAGCTTGCTATGTGAGGTGACAGATGTGTTAACTAACTTGATTGTAGTAATTATTTTACAATATATACATTGATTAAAGCATCACACTTTATGCCTTAAATAAAGTTGTATTTGTGGAATATGTCTCAAGAAAGATGGGAGAGAGAAATTAGACGGACTTATAATTTTAAAAACCCAAATCAACTAAAGATAAAACGTCAATGTTTGAGGTGAAAAATACACTGGGTGAGATTAATGACAGATATAAGACATTACAGAAGAAAATTTTAATAATTTTTCGTTTTTTAATTAAAATGTTTTTATTTTACTTCTTTTTATTTATTTATTATTTATATATGACAAAGAATGCCTTACAATTCTTATTACACATACAGAGCACAATTTTTCATATCTCTGGGTGTATTCACAGTATATTCACACCAATTCATGTCTTCATACCTGTACTTTGGATAATAATGATCATCACATTCCACCATCATTTCTAACCCCATGTCCCCTCCCTTCCCCTCCAACTCCTCTGCCCTATCTAGAGTATTGTCTATTCCTCCCATGCTCCCTCTCCCTATCCAACTATGAATCAGCCTCCTTATATCAAAGAAAACATTCGGCATTTGTTTTTTGGGATTGGCTAACTTCACTTAGCAATATCTTCTCTAACTCCATCCATTCAGCTGCAAATGCCATGATTTTATTCTCTTTTAATGCTGGGTAATATTCCATTGTGTATATATGCCACTTTTTTTTATCCATTCATCTATTGAAGGGCATATAGGTTGGTTCCACAGTTTAGCTATTGTGAATTGTGCTGCTGTAAACATTGATGTGGCTGTGTCCCTGCAGTATGTTGTTTTTAAGTCCTTTGGGTATAGACTGAGGAGAGGGATAGCTGGGTCAAATGGTGGTTCCAGTCCCAGATTTCCAAGGAATCTCCATACTGTTTTCCATATTGGCTGCACCAATCTGCAGTCCCACAAGCAGTGTATGAGTGTACCTTTTTCCCCCACATCCTCACCAACACTTATTGTTGTCTGTATGCATAATAGCTATCATTCTGACTGAAGTGAGATGAAATCTTAGAGTGGTTTCTTCTC